CCCAGCCCAGCCACCACAGCACCCCCGAGCAGAGCAGAGGGAGCAGGAGCGGGCAGTGCGGGAACAGTGGGCAGAGCGGGAACGGGAAATGGAGCGGCGGGAGAGAACTCGATCAGAGCGTGAATGGGATCGGGATAAAGTTCGAGAAGGGCCCCGTTCCCGATCACGGTCCCGTGACCGCCGCCGCAAGGAACGTGCCAAGTCCAAAGAAAAGAAGAGTGAGAAGAAAGGTACTTAGCTGTGGGGTCACACGTGTCCACTGGTGCAGGGCAAAGTGACCCAAATGGGATGGGACACGGTCCTATGCATCAAGTCTGACTCACTTTCTTCCACCTCAGAAAAAGCTCAGGAAGAGCCACCAGCCAAGCTCCTAGATGACCTTTTCCGCAAGACCAAGGCAGCTCCCTGCATCTACTGGCTCCCACTTACTGACAGCCAGGTGAGTGCTGACCTTCCTGGCCTGCTCAGAGCTGCAGCAAGGCTGGGGGTGGGGCACTAGGGAGAGTCATAGGAGTGCCAAGAGGGAGGAGGCCCAAGGAACAGCATAGGATAATAAGGGAAGAAACTAAGCATCACAGAAAGGGGCAGTTTTAAGAACCAGTTAATGAGTCTGCCATGTAGAGAAGCCAAACCTGAGCAGGTGGAGGTAGATGCAAAGACAGGAACTGTGTTCGCATATCCTAGGAAGCTGACTGCCAATCATGCTTCTTGGAAATTAATTTTAGGAGGTAGAGAAATCTGTGTTGTATAAACTCATCCATTTCTCTGTTTTTTAATATGTAAGGTTTTTTGCTTTTTACATTTGTTTCTTAGTAACAGACCTTTTGGGAACTTGTGCTTATGCCACTCAACTAAAAAGATTTGTTCACATGTAGGCAGCTAGAGAAATACTGGAGGCCAGGTATGGATGGTGCCACTACCTGTTGTGGGTATAAAAGGCGAACACTTGGAGGAACTGGGGCTCTGAGACAAGGACAGATGTCATTGCTGTGCCTCCACCCCCCACCCTCATTCCCCCCCCACACACACTTCCTGCTTAACAGCAAAGCCAACAGTGACCCTGAGCGCGGAGTGCCTGGTCCAGGTACAAATAGACAAAGTGGGACTGATGTGAGCTGGGCTGAAATGCCTATTCTCTGCCTTTCCTGCTGGCTGCAGATTGTTCAGAAGGAGGCAGAGCGGGCTGAACGGGCCAAGGAGCGGGAAAAGAGGCGGAAGGAGCAAGAAGAAGAAGAGCAAAAGGAGCGGGAGAAGGAAGCGGAGCGGGAGCGGAACCGACAGCTGGAGCGAGAGAAGCGAAGAGAGCACAGCCGAGAGAGGGACCGGGAGAGAGAGAGGGAACGGGAGCGTGACAGGGGGGATCGAGACAGAGATAGGGATAGGGAAAGGGACCGGGAACGAGGCAGGGAGAGGGACCGCAGAGACACCAAGCGCCACAGCAGGAGCCGGAGCCGAAGCACACCTGTGCGGGACCGGGGTGGGCGCCGCTAGCTGGGAAAACAATGGGGAGAGCTGCAGGCATCAGCCACCCTGCCCTGGGGTGGGGGCTCAAGACCACAGAGGGATAGGTACAATCTCTTTAACACCATTTGCCCAGTGCTGAAGTGTGGCTGCCACCTGTCCCAAACATACCAAATGGAGCAGTGGTCATCTTCCTCCCCTATACCCCATAACCCATCTCTTGGGATTTAGCCCTCTCCTCTCATTTCCCATGAAGTCTATGAGAGGGAAGAGCTAAGTTAGAGAGGGAGGTGGTTGGCCCAGAGTTGGGGAACAGCCGGGAGCCCCAACCTCTTTCATTTTCCTCCATCCTGCTTACCACCTCCTTTGGGTACTCACACCCCCTTTGGGAACAGCTGGGGCCAGGACTGGGTCACCTATGAGCTGAATCAGCATCTCCCGAGTCCCAGGGCCCCTGCAGTTCCCAGTCTTTTCTGTCCTGCAGCCCTTGCCTCCTGCCCACCGGTTTCACTTTATATCCACCTTTTTCTTTTGTTCAATTTTTATTTTTATTTTTTTTATTATTAAATGATGTGGTCTATGGAAAATAATAAAAATCTGACTTAGTTTTAACTAGTGTGTGAGTGGCTTTCCTTGGGCAGGCCTGGGTGACAGCCAAGTTGAAGAGGATGGCTGGAGCCAGCGTTGCTTACGTAGGCTTCTGCTTCCCAGAACCGGTCTAACCACCTCCTTGCCTGCCTTGGCTCTTAACAAACCACAGCTAAAGGTCTACCTCACTGGTGGGTAGAGGGGAAGGTCTCTTCAGGGCTAGAGGCATTTTGGTCACCTGCTTTTCACCTTCAAGGTGCCTCCCACAGCTGCCACCAGGGGGCGGCAGCTGCTTGCTCGGTAGGCGCCTGTAAATGAGCTTACCAAAAAGGCTCCACTGCCCCCTTCCATCCCCTCCTATCTTACCTTGGTCACCGACCTGTTCCGCGGGCCCAGCCCATGGGCTCCCTGGACCCTTATGCCGTCCTGAAGCGCACCCCAGAAGGCCCGCGACCATGCCCTGCACCGGTTCCCCAAATGCCCGCCGCCTTGCAGTGGTGGTCTATACCAGCCCCCGAGGCCGGCGCAGAAGTGCGAGTGGGCCGCTCCGCAGTGGCTCCTAATTACGCCCCCCCTCGCAGTGCCCTCACCCTTGGCCCCGCTGTGGGGGGCATGCAGGCCGCTTGGCGCTTTCGGGTGCACCCTCCCTATCAGTTCTAGGGACCTGGCCTGGACATCCTCCCACCCTAGTGCCCTGCCGCGCGCTGCGGACACAGCCCGGACCCAGCCCGGGAGGGGCCATACATCTGTATGCGCCTGGCGGCCTGGCAGCGCCGCCCCTGCCCCCGCCGCGCGGCCGGGCTGGCCGGGGAG